TTTTCGCCTGTCCTTTGCTGCTGTGCTGATTTTGCTCCAGGAACATCGCGGATACTGTGTGCTGGTCTGGGAAAATGGCCCATATCGGGATTCTGCTGTGCCTGTTAACTGTTTTGGACTATGAGAAGATCTCTAGTCATTCTGAGAAGCCTACTGGATTCAGGTCTGTTCTGCCACCCGCAGTGGGCATCCCCTGTAAAGGTTCGGATGTGTTGCTCAAACAATTACCGGTTGCCTTGTCACAGACAATCTGCTCGACAAAATATGTTTGTCTTTTTTGTGTCTTTTTCCTGAGATGATGGTTCTTCAGGACTGCTTCTTAAGCTCTAATCACACTCTCGCAGACTTTTCCGGTGTTTCTAAATTAGATGACAATGTATGTGTGTCGTTTAAGAGGAAAAGATGCCTGGTTTTTTGTTGTTATTACTGTCAGGAAATGTACAACCTAACCCTGGTCCGCCCAGTAGTAGTAGTCAGATCGCTACTCCTGCTGATTTTAAAGCTAGGTCTGGGTTGGGTTTCATCCACTTGAATGTGCGCAGTCTGTTAGGTAAACTAGATTTTGTCCGTATCTGGGCGAGCTCGACTGACGCTGACGTCATTGTTTTATCAGAAACATGGCTAAACAAATCTATTTTGGCCTCTGACATTGCCTTAAATGGTTTTAATGTGTATCGTACCGACCGGCCTAATAAAGGTGGTGGCGTTGCCATTTATGTTAAGAATAAGTTCAGTGTAACCACATTAGTTTCCAAATCGATCAGTAAGCAATTTGAATTTTTAGCCATAAATATAGAAGTGGCAAAGGGTCAACAGGTCATGGTAGTGAGTTGTTACAGACCCCCCTCAGCTGTCAAAGACTCCTTGTCTTCACTAGCAAATCTTTTATCACAACTAGACTACAGGGAAATAGTGCTACTTGGAGATTTTAACTGGGACTGGTTAACTGCAGTGTCAGAGGATTTTAAAAACCTTTGTATCTCTTTAAATGTTACTCAGATTGTGGACAGTCCTACTCGCCCTAACATTAAGTCCCCTAATAAATCCTCCCTAATTGATCTCATTTTAACTAATGTTCCCCATAAATATTCATCTGTGGGACTATTTGCAAATGATCTGAGTGATCACTGTGTTGTAGCCACAATTAGGGACACTAAGGTCCAAAAGGTTAAACCTCGCATTATCATTAAGAGAGACAAAAAACATTTTGTGGAGCAGGCTTTTGTGCATGATCTGTTTGATTTTGATTGGGGTAAAATCGATCTGTGTGCTGATGTAGAAACTGCATGGTCTTGTTTTTATCTTGGTTTTATGGAGATCATTGATAGACATGCACCCCTGCGTACATTTAGAGTGAAGGGACGAGACAATCCTTGGTTTTCTGCTGAATTATCTAGTCTCCTTCATGAGAGAAACAAGGCCTGGGCAAAGGCTAGGAAATCAGGCTCAGAGGTAGAATGGCTGCGTTTTAGGCAGCTAAGGAATAGCTTCACATCGCAAATCAAAAGTGCTAAATCAAAGTACTATCTGTCAGTAACCACAAAGAATCTGAATAATCCTGGAAAATTTTGGAAAGCCATTAAATCGTTATCCACCGGCGATATCCGTAATGAGCTACCTCCGTGCATTACCACAGCATCTGGCACTATATCGGACAGGGCTACTATGCTAAATTGCTTTAATGAGCATTTTGTGTCCTGTGGTTCTCTATTTGATTCTGTCACTAACTCTGCTTCTGTGAACACCACAGTATGTGACTCTGAAAAACGTGTTTTGGAAAACCCTTTCAGTTTTACTCCTTTTACTGTTGATGTTGTTCGTGAAGCTTTAACCAAGCTAGATCCTAAAAAGCCGGCTGGCCCGGACAACGTAGAGCCTTTCTTTTTAAAGATAGCTGCAGATTTTATTGCTCCACCTCTCACTACTCTTTTTAACCTCTCCCTCAGCTCTAACACAATTCCAAAATTGTGGAAGTCAGCGTATGTCCTGCCTTTGCTAAAAGAAGGGGAGGCCACCTTATTAAATAACTATAGGCCAATCTCTAAATTGTCAGTTCTGGCTAAGGTTCTTGAACGCCTAGTGAGTGAACAGGTAAAGGTGTTTTTATGTACAAATGACATCCTGTCTAAATCACTGCCACAATAAAAGTGGTGAATGATGTGGCGAGTATTTTAGACAATAAGCAGAGTTGTGCAGCTCTATTTATTGACCTTTCAAAAGCGTTTGATACCGTCGATCATCGCATCTTAAAGCAGAGGCTAGCCAGTATAGGCATGTCCAGCCATGCAGTAGGGTGGTTTGTAAACTACCTCTCTGAAAGGTCCCAATGTGTTCACTTTGATGGGCTGTCTTCTGAGAGGTTGAACATTGCAAATGGTGTTCCTCAAGGTTCTGTTTTAGGTCCACTTTTATTCTCCATCTACATCAACAGTTTAGGTGAAAATGTGGATGAAGCTACTTTACATTTTTATGCGGATGATACCGTGATGTACTGTGCAGGTCCCTCCATTAAGGAGGCTGGTGTTAAATTACAGGCTGTTTTTAACATTATTCAGACTCAGCTCTCTGAACTAAAGCTTCTTTTAAATGTTGAGAAAACCAAGGTAATGTTCTTTTCTAAAGCTAAAAAGACACCAGAGCCTGTTTTAGATATTGTAACTACGCAAGGAATAAAACTTGAAGTGGTTACCTGTTACAAATACCTTGGTATCTGGCTTGATAATTGTCTCACTTTTAAATTTCATGTCAATAATCTGCTTAAAAAACTGAGGGTTAGGCTAGGTTTCTTCTCCAGGAACAAGTCCTGTTTCTCGCTTGAGGCCAGGAAAAGGCCAGTCACTGTGACCTTTTTACCTGTGCTAGACTATGGTGATTTGATTTATATGAATGCACCTGCCAATTGCCTAGTCAAGTTAGATGCTGCGTATCACAGCGCACTGAGATTTGTGACAAACTGTAAAGCATTAACCCATCACTGTACCCTGTATGCAAGGGCTGGTTTGCTTTCACTAACTGTACGGAGGCTCAGTCACTGGTACATTTTTATATACAAAGCCATGTTAGGGAAACTTCCATCTTATATCTGCTCCCTGATCTCACGGAAAATTGTAAGTGGCTACTGCCTGAGATCGAATGCTGTGGTTTGATTAAATGTGCCAACTGCTAGGACTGTCTTAGGGAAGACAGCTTTTAGATGCGCAGCTCCTCTGTCTTGGAATAGTCTGCAATTGAAATGGAAACTGAACAATCTGGTGCCACTAAATGTTTTTAAAGCTCGGTTGGATGCTACTCAATCGGAAGCTATTGGTACCTATTTATGTGGATAATTATGTAAATGATGCTGTTTGATGTCCTTTTGTTGTTCTATTTATGTTTTTATGTTTCATGTGGAACTACTTGAGCAGGTCTCCCTCGAAAAAGAGATCAATGATCTCAATGGGATTTATCTGTATAAATAAAGGTTTGAAATGAAATGAAAAGCTAGAAATGTTTTTGGTTCATAGTCATTGGTCAACCGATTAGAGATGTCCCGCCTCTTAGCATGTCACGCACAAAGTGCTTTATCGCTAGCCTACAGAAGTGCAAGGGTAAAATAGTGATGTCCCTATGTTATAGAAGTAAACAAAGGAGTCCAATGGAGCAGTTTCAGGCAGGGGGAGGAGTGTGTGGGAGAGAACCCCCCTCTAGAGGGAACTTTGGAATTTTAGACCTTTCAGACTATTTACATGCAGAAAAATGTATATAACACACAGGAAAGGGAAAAGGCACAACAGGGCCTCTATTTTCACAGGCTGGGTAGCACTCATCACAAGGGACCCTTCAAGTAATTTTTTAGTGGCCTTATTTTCTACAAAGTATAATTCAATGCATACTTTTCTTGTCTTTTGATAAATACCTTTGAATAAAGCTTTGTGTAATTCCTCAACAAATCTATGAAGGCAATTAAACACTCATTTGGAAACATTTCTAATTTGCCACTTTTTGTGTGCAGCGGTTCATATTGCAGTCTTTGTTGACACACTCATTCATCACGTTTTGGACCGCTGCCTTCAGACGGTCTCTGCTCACTTTACTGTACGTGCCTGACTACAGTTTTCCACAGCACTGAGCAATGAGGATGGAAACGTTACCAAGGAAACCACCCAGAGCGACAGAGTGAGTGTTCCTATTAGAAGACACTAACAATTACTGAGTGGAAACAAGTGAAGGACAGCTGACAAACCTGCACGTCTCACACCTCAGATATAAATGAAGATAGCCGATAACCTTTCTCACTTTTCACACACTTCCTGTCAACGCTGTTATATAACAAGCAATACATTTCTCTTTAGTGGTTATATTTAGGGCAAACATTGTCTTTTTCTTCTCCATTTTGAGCTTCATGGATTTCATAACATGTCTTCTTTCAGATTTTTTTTAATAAAACATTAAAAATAAATTTTAAATTAAAACTAATTTAGTTTTCTGGTACCTTGTACCAATTGTATCAATTGTCTACAGCAGGGGTGTCAAACTAAAATACACAGTGGGCCAAAATAAAAAAAATCGGTACTAGTCGAGGGCCAGACTGAATCAATGTTTATAGCAAAACGTATTGAAATGAACTTATTGCACATATTAAACCTGGAACTAACTAAGCTTAAATGATTGCCTATAAAAACAACATTAAACATTAAATAATCAGTTGCATTCATTTCTTATGGCTCTATCTGCAGCTTTTCCGGAGTCATTTCTTATGATTACATTTTCCCACAGGCCAACAACAGCTTCAACAAAAACTATTTCCCTCAAAGAGAAAACCAAACATGCCCTGTTGTCGTGAGAGAAAAAGTGCAGAAGGAAACATCCATCAAATTCAGTGTGCTGCTCTGTGATGCTAGCTCAAGTCAGATACTTGGCATCTCATCTTGGGTGCAAGGTCATCAATGTTTGGGCTCAGGCTCTGAGCTGAAGAAACCCTCAGGATGGAGTGAAGGTGTGCGTGCAATATACCGGCGGGCCAGATCTAATAGTAATTACAAATTATCCTGCGGGCTGAAATTAAATCCACCAAGGGCCTGATTTGGCCCCCGGGCCTTGAGTTTGACACATGTGGCCTACAGTATACTTATTTTGGATAATAAAATAAATAAATAATGTTGGCTGTTGACAGTATTTTCTGATTTATTAAATGATAGAGAGATATTAAACATTCCCTCGATACACATTTGTTTACTCTAATAAGTCACCAACGTATGTTCAGATTTCTCAACTGCGCAAATAGGCATATTGCCTAATTTGCATATTTAAACATAACATTTCAAACTAATAATACAATAAATATCTACAAAGTAATCGACCAGGGGAAGATAATGATATCTGTTAGTTAAAATATTTACTCTATACTTTATAAAAAAGCATTGTAAACTGTTAAAGATGTATGCTACAGGACTCAGAAAGCACTTCCAGCAGACATACTATCAGAGGGTTCAGTGTTGTGTGCAAAACGTCCAGAACAAAGGCCACAAAGTGTAATGTTTGGATAGTTATAATGACTTCCTCCTGCTGTGGGGATAGTTCTTGCCTGCACAGAGAGCCTGGCTGCAGGGGGAGGCCTGTGAGGAGGTGAAGCAGGAGCTGCAGGAGGCCCGCTCCACCCTGTAGGAGATGGAGTTGTAAAAGACGGGGTTGCTGTGGCCGCCCACCTCGTGAGGATGAGGCGGAGATGGGCGGTCGTATAAAGCACAGCAGATGCAGGAGAGCAAGGCCCTGAGTCTGCTGGGATCAGAGAGCTTTTTTTGCTCAGGCAAAACAAGTCTGCGCTCCTCTACAGGGGATTGGAGCAGATTCATACAGCTGGTGCCTCCCTGCATGGGGAGGCTCAGGTTGCACAAGCTGCTGTGTCCGTCTTTATAGCTAACATCAGCAGTTTCTGCCTCCGACACCTCCCTATCCCCCTGCGTGTCCTGAGGCTGCTCCGCCACCCTTGATTCAGGCTTCACGTCCCGCTCCCCGGTGCTTACAGTCAGAAACCTCAGCACCACCAGGTTAAGAAAAGCCCCAATGACCGTCAGCCCCACCAAAATGTACACGAAGCTAAACGCCACATAGGGGGGTCGCTTTGAGAGAGCATCAGTCTTCTGCAAGGCCACAAAATCTCCAAATCCGATGGTGGTGAGCGTGATGAAGCAGTAGTAATAAGCGTTAAAGAAGGTCCAATCCTCAAAGTGGGAGAAGGCTGCGGCTCCGACACACAGGGTGCTCATGCACGACAGCAGGCCTACCAGCACCATGTTCCCCATGGACACCTCGGTTTGCTGGAAGCCCAGGCCCTGCTTGGCTCTGCGCAGGAGGAAGCGGACGAAGGTGTTGATCCTCTCGCCCTGGCTCTGGAACATGACCAGGGTCAGAGGGATGCCCAGGACAGCGTAAAACATACAGAAGGCCTTGCCAGCGTCAGTGCGTGGAGCAGCGTGGCCGTAACCTACAAATCACAATATATGCATGTCATGTGATGGCTGGCAATGCTGTTTAGTGTCTAAGAAGGTTTCAAGATATTACAAGATAAGATAAGATAGTACTTTATTGATCCCAATTTGGGAAATGTTTGTGTTGTAGCAACATAAAAAATACATGGCATTGTACAATAAAAATTCAAAGACTAGAAATAAACAAGAAAGTAGAAAATATACATGTTGCATTATAACAAGGTATTATGTATACATACATATAAATATATGACAGATGGAACAGATGTAAAATGTACAATGTGGTTTATATGTAGCAGCTTCCATGGATTTACCTACATGAATCAATATTTTGATTTGTCACGTTATGATGTGTAACTGCAAATTGTGATAAAATTACTATGAATAACACCCAAATTCTGCCCGCTCTATAGGCCTATATAGGTTTTTAGCTCATGTTTGGACAGTTTTATTCAACGACAATACCACTGCAACTTTAAGGTACTTTACTTAAGTATATCCAATTGATGCTAGTTTATACCCTACTCTAGTAGGCTACATTTATGAGGGAAATTGTGAACTTTTCACTAAACTACATGCATTTAACTGCCATCGTTTCTACTTTATTAAACTGCAACACATATTATTACTGTGAAGTCTTCATGTATTAAAAAATGATAAAGCTGTACATTTTACCTCAACAAAACTAAAAGAGCATCTGAAGTCTGGAAAATAAATAGCTTGAGATGAATATGATGTACAAATCATTATCTTGTTAAAAAAAACAGGATAATTGCATTATAATATTTCAGGTCCCTCAAGATCAATGTAACGCTCTGAAAGGGACCATTTGACATAGTTTTACAACTTGCTGATCATTTGCTTGTAATAGGCTACATACATAGGTCTACTTTGCAGGACTTTGACTCACATATTTGTTTACACTGCTGTAGATCCACTGTTACTTTTATTTAAGTGAATAAGTACTTATTCCACCTCTAAACACATACAAACATGCGGAAACACAAAGAAGCCAGATAAAGTATCGAGAAACCATACTTGCCAATTGTGGTGATGACAGTGATGGCAAAATAAAAAGACCCTGCGAACTTCCACTGCCTCCCGGAGCGGTGCGGCTCGGACTGCAGCACCACCCTCTCGATGTCTCGGTAGTCCTCCGCCGTGAAGCCGTACTTCCTCTTCAGATCGTTCAGCCTCTGCTCCAGCGCCTTCTTCCGAAAAACCTCGCTTTCCGACTCCAGCGCGTCAAACACGGCGGCTCCCAGCAGCAGGTAGAAAACTATGGAGAGGATAAGAGAGAGGGTCCTGATGTTCTGCGGCTTCATCCTCAACTCCGGAGTGCGCGCGGAGCGGCCCGAGGGAGGGAGGGAGGGTACTCAGAGCAACACGCAGGAGCTCCCTCCATCAACTCCATCCATAGAGAGTGATGAGTTCAGGCACCTCAAAGAAAGCTATGTGTGTGTTGAAGTTGTCTTAGCCTAGGTGAAAAGCTTATGCACAGGCACCTGAGCTCAGCAGCTGCAGCACCTTGCCTTCCTATAGGATGTTAGTAAAGGTGCTCACATCACATGACCTATGCCATGTCTTACTTTGCATATCTCTATGTGCTATCTTGAGTACATAAGTGCTCGAATCAATGCAAAGTAGGCTATGGAAAAATGCAGTCCACTATCAGCTTTCACTCCTGGCTTTCAAATAGTTGTGTGAACACTGGAAACGTCTCACACTTAAGGACCGCCACTTGGATATGTAACTGAAGTGACCCTCCTTAATTTCTTCTTACATTTTTTAAATATATTTAATATAAATACCACCACCATGCAAGTGATCTTGCTAGTATGCTAGCAGCTGTGTGAGATTTGAGACAACACTACAGTCAAAATTCACGTACTGTACAAGTGTTTAAAGTGCATAAAATAGCAGTTTACTAAACTGAGACACTAATTTGCTTTACCATAATTATCCTACAGAGGCACTTTTGTGACACAATTGGAGCGAATCCTATGTGCTAGTTCAGGCAGTCAACTCGAGCTTACACGTGATTTGCCTTACCCCCTTTATTCAACCAACCAAACTCACTCTCTGTAATCTGACACTCTATTTAAACTGCTATCTCTCCCTCTACCTCGCTAATGCTGCTGCCTTGCTGCTTCTGCTACGCTGCTGCTTCTCTGCCCCACCACCACCCAAGCATCCACCTGCAGGCTCCGGGGCATAGTTATTAAATCATCACTTATCAATACTCTTTGTAAAAATCATTTTCAGGGAGTGATAAGGCCGGAGCCTAGATGCCAAACACAAACTATAAGCTGCTTTTAATAAACATTTGTTGTCCGATATGCAAATCACACACCACTTTAAACTGCAGCCTTTACATTTACAAGGCAGCCATAGCCGTATAAAAATGCGTAAGTTCTCAGTTTTCGTTTTCTGTCCCTCTATATTTAAAAAAAAAAGCCTTTAAAAAAAGTTGTTGTGCTGCTGACTTTCCCAGACTGACTCCTGGCTGTTAATCCCTGATCCTGCTTGGAGAGGTTTGGGATACACATGTGTCAGAGTGTGTTGTGTCTGCCACAGAAAAGCACATCAGAACTGTGCTTTACAGACTCTACTCCACTGATTATTTTGCCCTGTGAAGCGTTCATGTGCGGAGTATTCACAATACGCTCGGCTAAAGTGTTACTCTGACCGATGAAGCATTAGCTGGGGGCAGCGTTGACCTTTATCGAGCACACTAGTCCCTGAGTGATCCAGCAAGCCTTTGTCATTAACTAAGTTCAACACACACACAGTGGAGATGATCCATGTGTGTGTGTATCAGTGCAGCTACACACAGGCCTGCATGTTCATGAAGCCTCGCTCAGGTTCTCAAAGGCATCTGCTGGGTTTTTGCTCAGGGTCATGATTGGTTGTGATGTTGTCTACCAAAATGCACATAAATCAGATCTTGCTCCACTCAACATAGCCTACAATAGACTATGCAGATTTGTTCTTGGTTGTCCTTTTCGTACACATCACTGCACAATGTATAACCAACTTAAATGGCCTTCTTTAAATGTAAGAAGACAGACGCATTGGCTTCAGCTGATATTTAAATGCATGTATCTTAACTATCCCCCTTATTTAAAGCAGTATTTTGTACCCTACTCACCAATTCATCAAGTTAGACATTCTGTTCAGATTTATTTCTCTGTCCCCTCTGCAAAAAAATGGATTGGCAGAAGAGCGTTCATGTTCAAAGCCCCAACTGACTGGAATACTTTACCTGCTGCTATTAGATCTCTTGCATCATGGGTTTATTTAAACATGCATTGTCATCTCACTTTCAACTGGTCTGTGCTTGTTATTAATGAAACTGATATTGATGAAACTGATTTGCTTGACTGTCTCAAATTGTAATGATTGTATGCATTGCTTGAATTTTACTTAACAGACTGTATGTGGGTTGTCTTGTGTGTCATGTTTTGCATTTTGTCTTTTTGTTTATGTATGTCTGTAAGTTGTTGCTATTGTCGGGGCCCCCTTGAAAACGAGATGGTGCATCTCAAGGGGTTTATCCCAATCAATAAAAATGTCTATATATATATATGCTAATTGAGTTCACAGCAGAACAACAAGAAAATAGACTTGACTGCTGTAGCTCCATGCTGCAAGAGATTTCAGTTCCATATCCTGCATGAAGTTTCCATCATTTCACATTTCAATTTGTGTGAGCCATTCATGCACTAAACCAGGCCATAAAGAGCCTGAGATCTGTCATTTAAATCCACATTTATTGCCTCCATTCCATCCAGAGCATATGGCAATCTCTACACTGTGTTTTTATCTTCTGCAGACAGCACAGGACCGTATCCCGCTTTAGTTAGCACAAATGAATCTATTGCCAAGCAGATGTTAACAGTGTCTTGATTTTCTCCATGGGCGGTAACAGCAATTATCTCCTTTTGAAAGGAGTCCCTCAGAGATAATAGCATCGCCAGAGTCCACTTAATGAGCACACACAGTGCTTACTTCAGTATTATTCAGCATCACTTCTTCTTGTAGATTTCACATTGGAGACAAATCACCCAGAGAAGAAATAGAAACATCAATTAAGCAGTATTAGACAAGTGACTTAAGTAATAAATAAAAAGGATCCTGTGGTTTAACAACTCTCCAGAAGTAATGATGCAGTGTTATCGGATCATCTCATATCTCTGTGCTCTACAGGACATTTCATGCATCCCTTTATCTTCCACAGGAAGACATTAAGAGCAGGATGTGCACTGACTGAGTCGAGACACTCATCTGTCCAAGTGCCAGCCCCGTATAAAATGAGGCAGGAAAATACAATGCAAACATGATGCTATCTGTACATTGATAACAGCGGGTGACGCCAGAATCGTTATGATCATCATATATTACGGAGACAAAGTCTATTTTGGTCATAAAAACAAAAATGTATTTTCAAAGCTAGAAAAGGCTTTATATGAACCTGCAGGCGGGTGTCTTCTCTGGTGACGAGTCGTCAGTGTCTCAGATGAATACAGGTTTGAACTTTGCAGCTAATGGGAACAGTCCATTGAGCCTTATTAGCCAAAAGGGCACGGACTGTGTCTTTAATTTATTTTCAAAGGTTGAGGCACCCTCACACCAGGTGTCTCATTCTGGTTCAGGCACCTGGTGTGAGGACGCAGTGTTGTATTCTGTTTTCTCAAATGATCGTAAATTGTAGCTGTTTTGGCACCAGGGTAATTCTTACTCTAGTGAGTATACTGCCTCTGCATAGTTGCTGAGAAGAACCAAATCAAAGTCAAATAATTAAGATTGAGTGTCATTAACCAAAAAAATCTTGGCATAGGGTAGGTTATTTATTTTACTATTGTTGGATGGATGTTAGATATTTAACGGGACACTTCCACCTAAATATTAGCCCAAATTGAAAGGATATGCTTTTAAATAATAATCACTACATTTCAAAAACTCAAATGTGTTAATAATCAAATATTAGACAGGCCTCTCACAGTCTGTTTTTATATCGCTTCTTAACTATTTTACTTAGCGTTCAACACTTTGTAGATTGTTGCTTTCATTGTTTTAAATGGTCTATTGTTTTAAGTACATGGCTGGTGTTATTTATTCTTTCTTGTTTATTTTAAGTTTTTAGCTTTTCATTTGTATCTTTACTTATTTTATGGTTTGTGTGCTGAGCTGTCTGATTTTTATATTCTGGAGGTTTTAAAGTGCATTACAAATAAAGCTGTATTTGATGTGGGGGAATTATCCTCATTGTTTTGCATGTTCAAAAGCCTGCACATTTAAATGTATATTTAACCTTGTTCACATACTGTAAGATGGACATTCACCTAATCAGAGTTTAACTTCTGTTATTTTTGTTATTTCCAATCATACTGTTAAAACATGTTAATTCTTTTTTTATTTTGTTTATTCTTAATATCCCTGTGTGTATTCTCATGTGTACTAAAGTGTTTCTCTCTTATTCTGTTGCTGCTATAACACCTTTTGTCCCTATGGTGATATAAATAAAGGTCCAGCATGTTTCTGATTGGAGGAATACGATTTGTTACTGTCCACAGACTCCCCTACATTCAAATGATATTTTCCAGATCAGCTTTCTTAGCAATACATATTTGTTGCCATTTAACCCTGAACTAGCAGCCTGAGCCGGGAGGTGGAGTTGGTGTGTGTTGGTGACAACGTTTAACGTTTTTAACTATTTACAGTAGGAGTTGGGAGAAAGTGAAAGCGAAACAGACATGTCATAAAGCGACATCAGGTGACATGAGGCCCCTGTCAGTGCTGTTGTGTCGACGTGTGGAGGGTATTATGGCCTTCTTCAACGACAACGGAGGTTATTCTGTGTTTGAGTGGTTTTTACGCTCTCCTGGTATCATATGGCGCTGTATGAGAAGACTTTGTAGATTAATAGTCAACGCATTGATACCGATAAGATGGCGATCGAATTACGAAAGCCCGGAAGAGCCTGAAACAAACTCCGAAGTCAACTTTCCAGCGATTAGTTCCCCCAAAGATGTGGAGCAGTCCCGCGGTAATGGTCCACCGAAGAGGGCCGCTGACTACAACCGAGATCTGACCCCCAAGGTGCGGCAGGGGTTTGACCGAAGCGTCCGGGAGTCTGAAGAAGTTGTTGCGCAGTTAACCGAAGATGAAGATGGGTCTGAGGAAGATGGTGGAGAGTTTCGCGTTGATTCCTCAGATGAGTTTTACTGTGGCTATGACTCCACCTGGGAGACAGAGGACCAGGAGCCGAGATGCAGCGGGACAAGGCGACCTGCAGCCAAGCATGTGAGTCCAGAGGCCCGCTGCGCTGTGAGGAGGGGGGCGAACTGTACTGTAGAGGGCATGCATTGGATTCACTTTCTATGTTTAGATTTACACTGTGTGTCTTTAGTGATCCAAACATAACCTTATTTTAACTTCTAATTGTCACAGGGATATGTTGTAAAAGTAGAAGTACCAGAGTGTAGGAATACTCTTGTACAAGTTAAAGTCCTGCTATCAAAATGTCACTCAAGCAAAAGTACAAAAGTATTAGCATCTAAGTAAAGTAGTCACCATGCAGATCGGCCCATTTCAGAGTTATATATCATGTTTTGATTATAATTATTGATGCATTGATGTGTAATCAAAGCTGGTAAAGGTGCAGCTAGTTTTATGTGACTTTGTATACTGCAGGGTAGCTTATTAATAAACTCCAGGTGTAACTAAAGTCTTATTTAAGTGTTGATTATATTTCACATCATTCATCCAAATCTGCAGAGTAATTTAAAGGCACTAAAACAATTTGTGGAGTAATTGTACTATATTTACCTCTGAATTTTAGTGGAGTAGAAGTACAAAGTATAAAAACATGAAATACTCAAGTAAAGTACACGTCTCTCAAAATTGTACTTGAGTAAATCTACTAAATTACTTTAGACCAATGTACATTTGCAACAATTTCACAATGTCTTGAGATTCAACTGACTTTCTTTTCTTTTATGTGCACCAGAACAAGTTCAGCAGCTTCGAGAATGCCGCAAAAGACATGCAGAACTACAGGCATGACTACCCTGTAAGTTGCGTACTCGTACACACACCCACACACTACAAACATAATATACACTTTAACTTGTTTCAGCGTTAACCAAGCACATATTGTTCTTTTATATTTCCCCACAGTCTCTGTGCAAGATGTCAAGCTGGAATGAGTCGGTAAGTACACACATGAAAACTGTGTTTGACTTATAAAGGTATTTAATTATGTGTATATAAAATTTGTATAATCTCTCAATCGTCCTCTGTTGAATAGAATGACCAGCCTAATCTGAAGTTTCATCAAGGGCTGATGCGTTCTGTACCTGACGGTAGGCCTACACTTACAATCACGTTTGACTTATGTGTCAAATCAGTATAACTATCCTAACATCTATCAACTTAGTATTTACTTATTTTATCTATTGTATTTGTTATCAGATGCTTTCATAAAGGATTTCCACAATGAATGGTATAGCGATTATAATAGACTGGAGAGTGAACACTACTACATTCAATGGTAAGATACTCTATTATCACATCATTGAAAATGTTATAACCTTAACCTTTTACTTCCTGTTGAAACAATGTACTCATTTGTTCTCTTAAAGGTTGTTCCCACTGCAGGAACCAGGGGTGAACTATCAGGCAAGAACACTGACGAAAGACGAAATAAAGGTAAACTGCTAAAAGCTACCGAATTCATATCTTAAAATAAATGTCCAGATTGTAAACTCTACTTTCCCTTCAGGCCATTTGTCAAAGCAGCCTGGCATTGGAGAATCTGTTGGAGTCCTATAAGCTCATGTTGGACTTCTATGGTATCGAGTTGCTTAATGAGCAAACAGGAGAATTGACGAGAGCGCTGAACTGGAAAGCGAGATTCAACAACCTTAACAGGTGATCTCTTCATGCTTTATCTCTAAAATTGTACACTAAAAGCCATACAAATAATATATATAACAACTTTTTGTCATTGACAGTCACACTCACAACAACCTGCGCATCACCCGCATCCTGAAGTGCCTGGGAACCCTGGGGTACCCTCACTACCAAGCCCCCCTGGTGCACTTCTTCCTGGAGGAGACCCTCGTCAACAGAGAGCTGCCACAAATCAAGGATAGTGTTCTGAGCTACTTTGTGTTTGCGGTCCTCGATAAGAAACAACGTAGGAGTCTCATCAAGTTCGCCTATTTGAACTATGACCGTAAAGATGAGTTTGTGTGGTGCCCAAAGAAAATTCAAATGATGTGGTCACGGGAGTCAGTGTCTCTGCAAAAAACATACTTATGATCTTCACATGCATCCCTTGAGTATGGTGAACGAATAGAAAGCCAAAGACAATTAAGCTCTTAAAGTATTTTCTGTCAATGTTCCCCAAATTCAATCTACATACTTAGGTTTACAATACTCTCTATACTATGCGACTACATACTAATGCGGAGAACTGAATGTAATAAACATATCATCACAGATTCAGGAATCCATTTAAGGAAATATTAACAAGAATTAGTCTGCAGTTTGTTTTGAGTGTACTGCACACTGCATACTAAAAACAAGCTTAAGATCAGAATGTAAAATATTTAGCCATGATACTACTATTACTACTATTTTTGTTTCATTAAATGTTATTCTTATACAGGTTTCTATAAAGAAAGCCGTTCTAAACCGGGTGAAACTGTTGCAATTGAATCTTAAGTGCCTATGATTCAGAAGTAGTGAAAATGTTTTTTTTTTCCACTAAACCTGAAATGTTTATCCAATATATAACCTGAACTCTTGTAATTTCTAATACATTTTATTCACTTATTTACTGTGGTTCTTCCTTGCATTTATTCCTATTATCAAACTAGCATTACACACACGTGTTTAGCTTCACAGATTATGGCAAACATAAAGTCAAACACTGGTGTTCTTAAAGAAAAGGATATATTACCATTACGTTACGTTAGTGAAGTATATTAAAGCATTCTGCATTTAAGGGACCCAATGGAGTGTTTCTTTCCTTAGTTTTGGTTCATGTAAATTACAAATAAATGTATCCTACAGATATTCCCATCACGCCTGGGTTTCTCCTCATTCTGAACGATGTAAGGGCACAAATATCTAAGGTTTTATAAAAGACTGTACTCAGGTTTCCTTGAGACTTTAGCTTGTGGTGAGATTCTGCCAGTGCTTGGATAAATGTGGATATAAAACTTTAAAACAATTAAGTAAATTATTTTGGAGGTGTTGCTAAATCACATTTATTGGCAATGGCCTAACCTTCATGTGACACTTTACTGCAGAGTAACTAATATACCAAAAACCTAAACATTAAAACTAAGCAATTTCACATGACTTGATTTATTCAAAACTGTTTTTGTTTAACTTTGTATTGACAACAGCAGAGGAAGATGTCATCAAACAGGTTTAATTGGTTGAGCTGAAACAAAATCAGGACATATCATTTACAACCATAGATGGGATGAATATTGTAGATAGTTGGAGCCTTTCGCTTCATTGGGGCTAGACATTAAACACACATTTGCCTGTAAACAGTGTTTCCTTTACTTTCACATTATCCATCTCAGATATATGGCTTTCATTTCTCACTACTTAGAAAAGTATGATTAAAAACATCAGTATATACACAAATACATTCATATTTACATATTGCAAATGGTGTGTTACATTATTGTTTCCTTAAAAAAAAAGAACTGCTTGGAAAGGAGAAAGGTATGTGTAATAGGACTCTGTTGCCCACGTTAAACATCTTGTACACAAGCAACAAAAATGTCCTTCAGTTTTTTGTTTTTCAAATGTGGTAAAACAAGTTAGAAACCTTTAAGTGACAAAAATAATACAAACATTGTCAAACTTTCTAGTATGAATACAACTGGACATTTCAAGAAATACTGCTCATCTACATTTACAGTGATACAACTCTTTTTCAACCGGTGAAAGATTGAACTCTCTTTCGTGTAGTGTCCTTAAAACTGACTAGGACACGTTCTTGTCATTTTCTGCAGTTTTGTCCTTCTCCTTAGGTGTATCGTGTTTACTGTCCTTTTTTTCCTCTCTTTTATCTCGGCTTCTGCTCCTGTCCCGACGATCCCTGTCTTTGTCCCTCTCTCTGTCTCTCTCCTTCTCTCTGACTCGGTCTTTCCCACGGTCTCTGTCCCGGTCTCTTTCCTTGCTACGGGATCTATCCCGTTTTTTGTCCCGCTCTCGATCGCGCTCGCGCTCTCGTTCTCGGTTTCTCCCTCTATCGCGGTCGTGGTCCCTCCTGTCAGAATCCCTGGCTCTGTCTCTTTCCCGGTCTCTTCTCTTGTCTGTGTCTTGATCCCTGTGTCGCTCCACCTCCGTCTCCCTGGCCTTCTCGCCCTCCTTCCCTCTGCTGCGCTCTCTTTCCCGAGTACGCTCCGGATCCCGTTCTTTTTCACGGCTGCGCTCCAGATCATGATCTCTTTCTCGGGGACGCTCCGGATCCCGTTCTTTTTCACGGCTGCGCTCCAGATCCCGTTCTTTTTCACGGCTGCGCTCCAGATCATGATCTCTTTCTCGGGGACGCTCCGGATCCCGTTCTTTTTCACGGCTGCGCTCCAGATCATGATCTCTTTCTCGGGGACGCTCCGGATCCCGTTCTTTTTCACGGCTGCGCTCCAGATCATGATCTCTTTCTCGGGGACGCTCCGGATCCCGTTCTTTTTCACGGCTGCGCTCCAGATCATGATCTCTTTCTCGGGGACGCTCCGGATCCCTTTCTCTGGTACGTTCCGGATCCCGTTCTCGAGGACGCTCCGTATCGTGATCCCTTTCTCTGTTGCGCTCCGGATCAACATCTCTTTCCCTGGTACGATCAGGATCGCGTTCCCTTTCTCTGGTACGATCAGGATCGCGTTCCCTTTCTCTGGTACGATCAGGATCTCGTTCCCTTTCTCTGGTACGATCAGGATCTCGTTCCCTTTCTCTGGTACGATCCGGATCCCGTTCTCTTTCTCTGGTGCGATCCGGATCCCGTTCTCTTTCTCTGGTACGATCAGGATCGCGTTCTCTTTCTCTGGTACGCTCCGGGTCGCGTTCTCTTTCCCGGATACGCTCGGGATCGCGTTCTCTTTCCCGGGGATGCTCGGGATCGCGTTCTCTTTCCCGGGGATGCTCGGGATCGCGTTCTCTTTCCCGGGGATGCTCGGGATCGCGTTCTCTTTCCCGGGGATGCTCGGGATCGCGTTCTCTTTCCCGGGGATGCTCGGGATCGCGTTCTCTTTCCCGGTTACGCTCTGGATCATGGTCCCTTTCTCTGGCTCTATCCCACTCCGGCTCTCTGCTCCACCGCCTGTCCTGGCCCCTGTCCCATAAGGGCCTGCCTGGGTGTGGGACATCCCGTTCTCTTTCCCTCCGGCGGTCCTCGGACTGCTCCCCCTGTCTCTCTTCAGAGGGTTGTAAGGGACCAGGAGCAGGTTCTCTGTGCCCTCCTTCGAAGCGACTGAAGCGCTCTCCGATGCGAGGTTCTGAGTCCTCTCGGGTGGAGCTGCTCTTCCTCCTCATTTCAGGAGAGTGTCGCCTCCAGGGGTCGTCCTGGTGCAAGTCTGGACTGTGAGCTCCCATGCGACTCGGAGGACCAATGGGAGCCTCTGGAGGAGTTGGCAGTAGAGGCCCAGAGTGACGGATAGGTCTAGGTTCATCAGAGTGCCTGTCCAAGCGGTATCGCTCGGATCCTCCAAAACGCTCAGAGGGATGGGGTCTATTCTCCTGAGGGGGGGGACCCCGGTGCTCATCAAAAGATCCTCGACGTGGAGGTGAAGAGAGGGGTCTGGAGCTCTCGTACTGGTTATGAGGATTTAAGTGCTGTCCGCTTACCTCGCCAATGGAGGGTGGACCTCTTCTGTCCTCATACTGATTATGTGGCGGACCCCGGTAGGCTGGACCTGGCGGGGGACCCTGACCGTCTTTATAAATATGTAGAGGGTTTGGATTCTGCTCCACGTTTGGTTTGAAAGAGTTAGGGTTTTCTCTGTTATAATGTTCTGCAGGGCCTCGAGGTTGGTCCCCTATTGCGGGTTGAGCCCGTTGATCACCATACTGAGGTGGCGGGGGACCCCTGGGCCCTTGAAAGTGGGACGGAGGAGGGAGTCTGTTTTCAAAGTGACTATGGGGTGGCACAGCGAAAGGTGGAGGAGGACCTCTGTTTGCAGGGAAGTTAAATGGTGAAGGTGGGGGACCCCCAAATCTTGGTGGAAGATTCTGTCCATCAAAAGTAGGAGGTGGGGGCAGGCCTGGAGGGAGACCTTGCTGTACAATGTGCTGGGGGGGAATGGAGGGATTAAACATTTGGGGAGCAGGGCCTCTCTGGGCCATTGGAAGAAATTGTGGTGGTGGTGGTCCTCGGAGGGGCATGATATTATGGGGAGGTGGTACAGAAGGAAGCTGCTGCGGCTGGGAGCCTTGCCACTGGTTCTGATAAGGAGGGTATGCAGTTGGACGTGGACCATATTGTTGGCTGTTATCACCCTGCATAGGGGGAGGACCACGGACAGGGGGATGAACATGCATGGGTGGAGGGGGTCTCTGCATAGGAGGGTGGCCTGACACTGGAGGGTGGCCTGACACTGGAGGGTGGCCTTGCATGTGTGGTCGTATTGACATCGGAGGAGGCCTTAAAACCATATTTTGTCCCTGCATCGGATGGTGCTGGGGGAAGTTTGATGGGGGGGGGATGTCAGCTGGAGGTCTGTACTCTCTATCGAAGCCTGACCTGTGATGCGGCATGTGATGGTGCTCAAGCGAGTGTGGAGTGTCGACCATTTTTGTGCTCTGAGTGAGTACTGGGATTGTGGAAGGTCTTTGGGATGCGTTTGCATGCTCGTTATAATAACTTCTGGATGGCACATCTTGGCTATTATCATCATAATCTGATTCTTCATTAGCTTTTAAGATACTGGCAGCATTTGGCCAAATACTGTACTTGTCCAATTCTGTTTCTGGCTTGATTGGCTCAGCTTCCACAGTTTTGACTTCTGGCTCATCCATATAGTTGACTTCCATATCAGGGTCCACGTCCTCTCCTAATAATGGAATTGCTACCTCTGTTTCGTCTGACGTTAGGAAGGGTAGCGTCTCGCTTTTCACTTCCTCAAGAGGCAGCGTTGTCTCTTGGGCTTCTGAGGAGTCTGGGAGTTCAGTAACTTTATCCAGATTAGCCTCTTGAACCACAGGTTGTGAAACAGCTGTAGAATCCACCACCGGAGCAGATGGTTCTTCTTGTTCCTCAGGTTCTTCAGTCGGTTTGTTGTCGTCTGCAGCCTGGCGAGGATCCCTGCTCTGTCGGGGATCTCTCCTTTGGTTGATCAAGGGAGCAACTGATGTAGACTTTATTAGTTCCTCAACCTTTTTGCCAAGCTGCAGTAGCTGAGAATTGGCCAAAAGGGATGTTACAGGTGTGGTTAAGAATGTGTCTGGAAGTGTCAATGAAACATCAGGTGTCACCGTAGAGAATTTTTGGTGCTCTCCCTGTTTCTGGAATGCTTGATCCCCAATCTGTTTTAGGCTCTCCAAGATCTTTTGTGCATCAGTAAGAGACTCAACCTTAACTTGAACTGGTACAACAGGTTTGACATCTTCAAAAATTGAGTCATCCTCTGGATCGTAAGCTACATCATCAGCTTCATTTGCAACCACCTCAGGCTGCTTAGAGATTTTAGGTTTGATTTCCATCTCCACAGACTTCTTAGGCACATTGTAGCCCATACTGGGGTCATACTCTTCTTCTGGATCGTACGGTCGGTCATCTTCGTCCTCCTCCACCTGTTTCTCTTTAGAACTCTGTGCAAACTGCTGCACAATGGGGTCAAGCATTGAGGCGGACGGGATGGTGAGTTCCCCACTGTTATCAGACGGAGAGTTGGAAGCTTCTGAGTCGTGCTTTTTCTTCCCAAAAAGAGTGTTGAGGATCGTTTGAAGAGGCGTAGCAGCAGAGGAAGCAACAGAGCTGGATGAGGATGGTGACTCCTTGCCGGTGACAGTGGATGTAGCTTTGAAAGAGGACAAAAGAGAAAAGACAGAGGAGGTGGCTGTGGTGCTGCTGGAGGTCTCAGAAGAGTTAGAAGGAGGTGACCCTGGAGGAGTGGTGCTGAAGGGGATTTCCAGACTCTGTCGCGAGCTTCTGTCCCCTCTGACTGAAGAAGATATTTTTGGAAGGCCAGTGTCATCAGTATCTCTGTTTTGAATCTTTGATCGTTTTTCCTCAGTTTCTAACGGACCACCAGCTCGCTTTTTGTCCTTTTGGCAGATCAGCAGACCCAAGAGGAGGTTAGGACGAGCAGGTTCAAGCCCTGCAAGAAAAGACAAAACAAGGACCTTTGTAAACATTTTATGTTGATAACCGTAGATTAACAGAACTGAATGATAATCTTGTATTCCTGACTTGCTCAATAAAGACATTTAAGTTAAATTAGTTTCTACAAGATGTTTTGATACATACATGAGGAATTGTAAGTCCATAAGGCTTTATCAGAGTTGTATCTGCTCTCTTAAGTGAATCCTTTCATATCTCAACTGACAATTGTGGAAATGGTTCGCAGTCATTAAATGTGTTAATATGTAAAACAAAACAAACTGAAATATGTATGCAGGTATTAGCTGCAGAGAAACGTGCGCCATCAGTAGGCTTGTGTTGGTTATTGTAGAGGTCTTGCTTATGCAATACATAACCAAGAGTCACTGACAGCACAAGACTGCACCAGGAAATTGCAAAAACACATGACTGCCAGTAAGACTGCAATAGATTGCAAACCATAATATAATTCTGGTAAATCTACAACATCAGTTCTTATGGAGATTTGATTAAAGATCATTACTTCAATCTGTTTAAAGAAACATCGGGAAAAAGTAAGATGTGTAGTCATATTTTTTCTGAAGCTAGTCCAATAGTAAGGAATTAAGTGGTGCAGCATGTTACCATTTGATCACCGGTGTGATATGATGTAACTTGTCAACCATTTTAAATTATTTATTTATTCAAATAGGTACATTATGTTTATGTAGAAGCCAAGTCATAAGAAACAACAGGCTGAGACTGGACTCAAATGGCATCAACCTGCGATGCAAACTTCCTTTATTAGAAATGTGTTATACAAAATCAGAAACACAGCAGAGGACACAGCAGCTGTTATATGAGGTGTTTTCTGGATGAGATTTAGCAAAAGAGTTAGTGCCCCCTACAGGACAAACTAATAAATCACCAAACCCTCAGTTAAAAAACAAATATGACACAAAATCATTAAAATAAACACAGTTACATTTAGTGGTATATATGTGTGACCCTGTGAACGCTTACCTGGCCCATCAAACGGTAAGAGTTTGGAGGGTAATGGGTCCTTTGAGCTCAGAGGGATGAGATAGAGGTCTTTGATACGTCGGTTGTTGTTAGCCACCACACCAAATCGTTTCCTGCTGCTGAAGTAGGAGAAGAGAGAGACGTATGCCACTTCCTCCTCCTCTGTGGCCGGGTGGAAACGGATCAAACATAGTTCCTGAAAACACAGAGAGCAAAGTATGTAAGGGATGCAAGGCCTTTAAATGGAGCACTTTTATACTCAATCATTGTTTTCATCAAACCTTTGAGAGTGAGGTTTTCAGTTTTCCAACGTAGTCCCACACTGTGCTTGGAGATATCCGTCCTCCAATGTGAATGGTGTCTGGCAAATCCTGCACAAAAAATATAACACTAAGTATGATGCTTTTGCTTGCTTGCATGATATGCCCAAAGGTTTTGCATTAAACAATGATTAAAAAGGAAGACTAATCTAAATTGCTAACCTCCTTCAGGTATTCAAAGGATCCTGACACCAGATAAGCCTTGGTCACAAACTTGGCCACAGACTGCATGTTGATTAGTCCTTTCCAGATCTTCTCTTGACCGTGGAGGAAGATCGCCGTCTCGCCCTCAGGAGGGGTCTCGGATGAACTGTGAAACCAAAATGTCTCTGTTTTAGGGGAAATCCAATACCTCACATATTTATAATGCAATTTAAGGGACAACAATTTAAAAACACCTCCATAACTTTTATAATGACCCATAATGAAATGTCCATGACCATTCATATCGTATATGTATACAGACAGATGTGTAAAGTAAACTTTAGTTATTGATGAAAACTTTTGTCCAATGTCTAATAGATTGTAATGTTTATATTAACTGAAAATACCTTTAAGAGGCACATTGCAAACATTCTTTTTAATTATATTAGTCTGTCACTGGCATTACAAAATAAGGGGAAACAGACCGAGTTATACCATTTATACTAATGAATTATAAATGTGTTTTTTTTCTGGAAAAACAATATGGCAATATAAATATGGAACATACATGCCACAAAATATTTCAAACATATAATTGCAAAACTTATAATTACATGGTTTTTAAAAAGGTTTTCCATGACTATTGGAACCCTGAATTTAAGCCCTTGAGTAAAAAAATACCACAGTTGCAAACAAATAAACCACTAAAGCGAGCAAGTCTCTGAAGAGCTGATTTATAAAAGCGTGATGAGATTAAGCACCTTGTTTTCCCTGGTTTGAAGGCAGCCACTGAAGGGGGGGGAGCCGGGGGCATCGGCAGCGGAGCTTTGGGTGCGACATCCGCTGGAGCGCTGAGGGGAGCTGGGAGGGCTTCTGCTGAGCTGTTGGGGAGTCTCTCTGCAGCCGGGTAGGTGACAGTCACCGCGGCGCTGTGCCTGGCCATGCGGGGGTCTCTGCGGGTGATGCTGACACAGGACACGATGGGGGCGATGGGTGTGGGGGCCTGGGCCAGAGGAGCCAGCATACTGAGGTCCAACTGTGGCTGTGGCTCTGGGACAGCTGGCTCCACAGTCGGCTGGTAGGATGGAGGGACTTGGACAGGAGACACGTCCCCCGACCTGGAGGAGGGCTGCTCGTGTCTCAGAGGCTTAGTGTCAGGCTTCTTGGTCAGTTTGGCTTTCTTAGCTGCAGGCTCATCTTCTGACCTCTGACCTGGAGGGTAAGATTATAAGAATGATTGCTTGTGTGAAAAATCTCGCAAAGAAAATGTTGAAGAATTTTAATTAAATAAATGTTTGTCTGTCATTCATCAAATGACCGAGCGTAATGAAGGAAAGTCTTGCAATATTTCTATATTAAAAAAATGCCATACTGTAATTCAAACTGTATGGCGACTTCAACAGTAAAAATGCTATGAAGTTATTAGCTTGTGCATAATGAGCATTTTCTTCTGCTGCAGTTTAACATTGAAATCTGTGAATGTTTCTCAGTGAGCCTGACACTTACCACTACGAGTAAACAAAACATGACATCAGTATCACCCTTTCTTTAAATATTGTCTGGAGTAATGGGAACGCTGCAGGCAACAGGCTGCCAACCTCCTACATCTCAGTGTGCTAACCAAATGTTTTCATTATTTGAAAACTCATGCAGCGTGTAGAATAAAATCTGAGGTTGCTCAAATAATTATGGAAAATGGCCACTTTTCAAAATTGACCTTACACTTCTGTGTCATTTACCTGTGCATATCAGACAGTTGAGGTCGAACAGATGAGTCCTGTGTTCAGAAGTAGTGTCCTTGAGCATTGTACTGAAAATGTCTGGCATGCTGCCGCTACTGTTGCCCTCCGCAGCAGAGGGCTGAGCCGAGGCTGGAGGAGTGGGCATCGACTCATCTTGGTCCTGTGAACACAGAAAACTCTGAGGTGAGCTTGAAAAACAAATCATTGCTTTTCAAATAACACCCTGTACTTTGGGTGATATCTGGGTGTTAAAACAGATAAGGTGTAACACCCGGTAAAAAGAAAGCTTCAGAAAGAAAGAAACAGCATTGAAAAACAGGACAGTTTGCAAGATAGTTAACCCAGGATTTGTATTTGTAACTAAGCAACCCATGCAAAAGTGAAAAATAAGTGTTGAAGAGAGAAAGACAGCATGCCACCACTTACTGCAGCAGCGGCCATGCGAGAAGATGAAGTGTTGGCAGAGATACATACATCTCCATCAGATGTTGGTGGAGCGTCATCCATATCCATGCTATGAGAGTCATGCCTGTTGCCCAGTTTAGAGTGCCCTGAATGGGCCCTTGCACCGGGAGAGTGGGCCTGCAGGAGAACAGCACATTTTGTCTTTAGAGTTACCTACATTTAAACTTCATGTTTCATTTAAAATGAGAGTAGTATTTACCTCAGCAGTATCAGGCTTCTTCCACTCAGATATCTCTTTGGAAAGCAGCTCTTCAGCGCTCAGTCTCACCAGCCTGTAGGGACTGACCTCACGACCCACCACTCTGTAGAACAAGCCCTGAGACACAACACAATAATCATGAACATCAGTTACAAATACGCTTGTTAAGCTTTTCAGGCTGAAGGCACATACACAACTCTTTAAACATACAAAAAATACGGGGAAAAGTTTACTTACTTTGTTTTTGGGATCTTTCAGGTTGAACATGAGGGACCTGTATTTGTTCTTGTACTTGCTGTCAGTGCTAAGGCAGAGGTTGAACATTTCCTTTTCAATGGCAACCGACAGCTTTGACACTTCAGGCTCATTCATATTCAGGTCGTCACTGTCGCTCACCCTGGTGGTACCGAACACAACAAATGATGGTGTTCAAATCTGAAGTTTTACTGAAATATTTGTAGATGTATTACGAACTTTGGACTCCTTACCTCTTAAAGATGATGTCAGTCAGCGAGCGCCGGATGTTTGTTCTCATCTGGTTGTTTGGTGGGGGCCGCACGGGGGACACAGTGGGCGCAGAAGGAGCTGGATGTGGAGGTCTGGAGTGGCTGGAGGGAGCTGAAGAGGGTGGAGTTGATGGGACTCTGGAAGACGAAGAGGATGGAGGTTCCTTTTGTGGGGGCTGCTTCTTAGGAATGGTAAAGTTGGACTTGGTGACTCTCAGCGCTCCTGTGGCGTGGATCGGACCCTGAGGAAAGCGAGACTTGTTTTGGACGGGTGTCGGACCGGGTTTCTTGGACTTTGCTGCAGTTTTACTCAGGGGTGTCGCAGGTTTCTTTGACGCCTTCGAGGTGGTGGTCTGAGGCTTCCTGCCCTTTGGGGAAACCTTGGTTGCTTTAGTCGCCGTGGACTTCTTGTTCCCTTTAGTAGGAGAAGGGGCTTTTGCTTGAGCAGGTTCCTTCTCACTCTGCTTCTCTTCCTTAGGGGGGGCTGCAAACCAAGAAGATACATACATGTTAAAATATGCAATCATTTGCAATATCAGCAGAAACATGTAGCAAGACAGAATGACTTTCAGATGACATTGCTGACTCATAAAGCTCCACATTATGAGATAATTAACTGTCATAGACAATTAAGACCACCCACTCTTGATGAAAAAATTAAAACGTAATTCACAGGTTGTGTGTGCGCATCCTGAACACACTGCAATAAACATTCTTAAATACACACAAAGTTGACACCCTGGGCGGTTAAATAGCCCCTTTATTTGTAGCAGCTGAATGCGGATACATTGTGCTGTTAATGCAGGTCCATTTGGGAAAGAAGCATTTTCTTCCTAAACATTATTTAGAAGAAATGGGCTTCATACTCCCACCATATATCCGAATAGGAGGGAGGCGGAATGATGCACTCCTGTCTCGTGCAAAAGTACTCAGCAGATATTGAAAAGATAGAACCACAACTACCAGGTTGACGTTCATAACTTCCTCATTTTCAAACTGTTAATTTAAATACATTTGTTTAATGAGCTCAGCCACAAACCACAAACACTAGAACCAGCTAAGGCTATGAGCTCCGTCTTAAAAAGTGAAAACCCAAAAAGTGTCAGTGGTAGTCATATGAATAATAGATGCAGATGCACAAGAATGTTCCTTAAACTAAAAAATATAGTATTATGTTAACCGGTTATCACCAAGACTTGTATGGCAATACACACTCAGTTCAAACTGTCATATGCAGATGCTAGAGCGTCATCCATTATGTTCAAGTTGTATGTTCAAGCTGAATTAGAATAAGCATCACCCCACTTGAACACACAAATTATCACAAATCACCCACTGAAATGTAGAAACCACAAGATTATTGTCCAGAACCACAGTATTGAGACCCGAAGCAACCAAAGTAAACCATCATCTAATTAGTGTCACACCAAGCTAAATATGACTCAGAAGAAACAGGGGCTAAGCAAGAACAAATGAGCCATGACTTCTTCCTCCTGTTGGTCACTGCAGTCAATGGTCACACTGATTTCCTGACCTTAGAGGTTCAATTAGCTTTAAAAACGTGCTTTCTCATCAATAAAGATCCACATGTTGCCTTCAATGACCCCTTATAAAGGGAAACTAACTGTCCACATTTCATTGGAACAAACGATCCTCTTATATTTATCAAATCTCGTCAAAAGTGCAAAATGTGTAAAACACTTGAGGCTGGATGTCCTCCTCCTTTGCTCAGCCAGGTCTTCAGCTTCTTTCTTCTGAACTTCACTGCAGTATCTCCAGGAGAGAGGGGAGGGGGGTGGTCTCTGGCAGGGCTTCCTTCTTTTCCCGTCTGATGAACATCTGGGGGGAGGGGGTGTCTTCTGTGTGATGCCTCCATAGTGTGTAGATAAATCAGTTGTAAATGCTTAGATTGAGCTGAACTTCCCACAGCAAGCCAACACTGCTCAGATAATCAATCGAGGCATCCTACAATCTGTTATATCACCTTTTATTTCAAAGCCAGTTTTCCAGGAGTGATGCATCATAATCAATATGAATAAAAAAATCTTTGAAGTCAGCCTATTAACCACAAAATGAAGGGTATAAATAAACTACTGCAGTGACAGCAGATATTATCAACTCAATATGAGCTGTTAGCTTCTTTAGTCCACATTAACATGGGGAGATCTGAGACACCTACCTGCTGGAGAAAGGGAGGGAAGAACCTTTTTAATGGGTCAACAGCTGAGGTGATGAACCTGGGAAGTGGAGACTTGTGTAGGAGTTTGTAAAAATCACACTCACGGTCACTCATCACATTCATGCATCTAATAGTGAAGCACAAGAGTTAAGTTGAGACTTTTCTTCCACATGGTCCTGTTTTCACCTACACCCCTGCCTTTTAGCTATGGGGAAAGAGGTAATCCATCGATTAAGTGTCACACACTCAAAAAGGACAAGTTTCATATTGAAAAAGTCTAACTTGATGTAGCAGGGGCCTCTGCACTGACCTCTTGGCCATAGCATGGCTAGGGCCACAAAAGGAACGCTAGGTCTACCTGGTATAATGTCTGTTATTCAAACTCCTGCTTTCAGTTTATAACCCAGGTATATCTATTGGGAATGTGGTTCTCCCGAGCTGAACTCACTCCCAAAGCCACTGCGTCCAGTCTTAGTACCTAATCAAATGACTAATCACCTGTGGAGAGTCCCTTCGGAATAAATACATTCTCTATTATTAAATACTTACCCAAAGCCACAAACAGCACTTACCTTTAGTCACAGCTGCCAACATGTCATTAGTAGAAAGAAACCTTTACATTATCAAAATCACTTCATAAACACTTTGCAAATGTTTTTTAAGTCTAGCATACAGCGGAGTCCAGCTCCACGGCACGTTACGTTAGCACCACATGTATAATATAAACATAACAACGTAGTTTCAAAAACAGCCCAAGACCTTCAAAGAGATACATACACTTTTTGTTTAAAACTGTTGGTGATATGGGTGTAGTCTTTTCTGGTGTTACTGCAATGTAATTATGGTCGCTGGACCAGGATGCAGTGGCTGGCGGGGGCGGTTGTTCCTCAGCGTTCTCTTCCTCCTCCTCCTCTTCGTCGTCATCCTCCTCGTCATCATCATCGTCATCCTCCTCCTCATCATCATCTAGCTCCGAGCTGTAGTCTCCGTCGCTGTCCGAGTCCTCCTCTGCTTCCTTTTGTTTCCTCTTGCCACCAGCGGCGCTCTTCTGCGTGGACGGGAAGAAACACACATTCAGGCTTTTAGTTTCAGCACTCAGCTGTTTGACAGTATTACAGTCAAAACAGAAAAAACGTTTGACTGATAAAAGAATTGCAAAATGCCAGGAAGATCTGTCCATGGTTATGATATGTAACTTGTACGGCCTTCCTGCTCGCACTTTTAGTACAGTTCGAGAACATAGCATGTCCGAATTGCTCTATATGTAGCTTCTGTAAACATTACACTGTACCAAATATTTCTTGGCATATAGGGTAATAACTTCATCATTAGCTACGTCTGAAAGCAGAAGTCTGGGGCAAATAATTGCAAGTCTCTTCAGTGAGAATGTCACAAAATGATTTCAAAAGAAAAGCCAAATTCTGGAGAAAAAAAGTCAAAATTCAAAAAAGTAACATTTTGGGGGAAAAGTCAGATTCTGGGAAAAATGTCAAATTTGAGATGCATTGTGGGACATGTAGTTTATGGGCAACGTGCTTCTGTAAATCGGAATGTAACCGTATAATAAACACTGTATTCTTTGCAAGCTCTTGTGGGACCACATAACATGAAGTCACGGGCCAGATTTTGTCCCCGGGCCTTGAGTTTGACACCCCTGGTTTAAACGATATGAAAATAGTTTCCCAACTGGAATAAATAAAAGTTCCCTGCAAGCTAGTTCAGATTAGCCACTTGACAGAACATGGATGTTTATTTGCTTCCACACCCTTTAAAGTTTCAATCTCACAAAAAGTATGTGGCCGTCTCTCAATGTCGAGTAAAGCTGCTGCAGAGCCACTATTTCAAGTATACTACGTCATGGAGTGGCGCCGAATGCTGGGCATTTAAACAGTCCTTCGGCGCCACTCCATGACGTAGTATACTTGAAATAGTGGCTCTGCAGCAGCTTTACTCGACATTGAGAAACGGCCTGAGTGGGTTTTCAAAGTAATAAAACCTCAGGATGTTTCCAGCTATGAGTGTGCAGGAAATAGGCCGTGTGAAAAGTAATGACAAAAAGAGGACTGAAGACTCCCGTGTGGATTTGGGGATGCAGAATTAGGTCAACAATAGGCTTAGAAAAGATACAGAACATAAGCACACAATCAAACCAAACAGTAATACCGGTAAAATAATGTATACTGTTCGTCTAATTATTCATAAGGATGGTATGTGCAGTGGATATTTTAAGCCTATAGGTGTTTTGTTTCTCTGCAGTCACCATTATGATAACATTAATGATACAGGACATTAAAGCCACAGACAGTGTGAGTGCATACAAAAAGCTTGAAATGCATCTCTGTAACCGAAACCATGTGTCAATTAAAAAACAAGGAGCAATGTTTATGTAGATATCCCTTTGGCTAAACATCCTAAAAACAGGTTTATCACCCCCAAACATTAAAGCGTATTTATCACCCCCAAACATAAAAGCGTACTGGGAAAGGATTCACTTTTCCAATCCGAGGCAAAGTCTTCTTTTTCCCTTTTTGGATTAGACAAATGTTATCTATAGGCTGATGGGCTCACTCTGTTGAACCCCTTGATCCAGTTCATCACTCGGCCCTCAGATTTATTACAGTTGTTATACTCATCACTGCTTCTTGTATGAAAAGGTTTAAAGGATTTCTGACTATATAAAAGCCTAACATCATGCAGTCACATCACTTTGAATCAGTGATTGATTAATGGTTAAAGTTAAACGATAACATTGGGAAAATGGCTTTAAGTTTTGTGCTGCACACACTATACCACACATTACAATTGCACCCAGTTGTAAACAAAAACACTTTTGATCATTTTGATGATGATGAATCCATTTCCCCCATGAGTCAGTAGACGGGCCCGTTGTACAGTTTGTCTTAAGTGATTTGAACCTGCTCCATTGCAGGTTGCCAGAATGGGTTGATGACCAACTTAATTAGCTTCCTCAACATCAATACATTCTTATATATCAGAAAATAGCAGCTGCTTGTTCCCATTGGTTGAATAATTTGACCTCAAATTATTATTTTAGACACATGAATGTTGGTTCTCTGAAATGCTAATCAACAGTGACACAGAAAGGAAAGGAAAGAATTTGTAGCGAACCAAGACACACCACAAAGGAAATCATTTCTCAGATCTGGTAAAAACACAACATAGCAACATTTATATGACACACAGTTAAGCTAAGGAAGTGCCGTGTGCGGCTACTGCCGAAATATAACTCCACTCCATGTTTTCTCATTAGGTGAAAGGCAAGAATATCTACGCTTAAAGGACAGGCAGAAGGCATTATTATCGAGTGGTCCGAGTTACCTTTGGTGCAGCCTTGGTTTTCTTTTCCGCGGCCTTGACCTTCTGCTTGGGCTCCTTGACGTCAGTGATGGACTTCATGGCTGCAGCGGCATGTCTCAGGATGCAGTCATTACCACAGTACACAGAGTCCTGCTGAGCGTTATTCTCACAGCCCGGCCCGATGCATTTGGGAAGGGAAGACTCGTCCGCAGCTTTCGGCCCGGGCGTCTCCTCTGGGGGCTTCTCCTCTGGGGGCGTCTCCTCTGGGGGCGTCTCCTCCGGCCCGGGCTTCTCCTCCGACCCGGGCTTCTCCTCCGACCCGGGCTTCTCCTCCGGCCCGGGCCTCTCTTCCGGCCCGGGCCTCTCCTCCGGCCCGGGCTTCTCCTCCGGCCCGGGCTTCTCCTCCAGCCCGGGCCTCTCCTCCAGCCCGGGCTTCTCCTCCGACCCGGGCCTCTCCTCTGCCCCCCCCCCTGTTGGTGTTGTGTTCACCTCTACGTTTGACACCACTTTCTGCTCCGCCTCTGGTTGTGCTTTCGGCTCGGCCTTCTTCTCCACAGCTGGTGCGGCTTTCTGGACTGCTTTTGGTTGGGTTGGCTGCTGTGCGGCCTGCTACATGTCGGTACACAGTACAAATTAACAGCTAAGGATGTCATTTTGTCATCTAGATTAAAATGTACTTATAAGCCATTAAACCCCCAAAATTGTGAATGTTAACTGCTTTAAATATCCAACAATCATATAATGGTTGAAATTGTGATTATTGATCAACACTAAACATGTACTATAGAGAGGCGAAGTCCCTCCCTTTCCGGTCGAGCTCCATGGGACCTTATTTCGGAAAAATTAGCTATTGAAGTCAATGGAGAGAGAAAGATTATCTTTCGATCCCGTTTGAATTGTGCCACGAATTACACATGTGATGTTTGTCAATTTAAAAGATAATTTTGCAAGTACAATAAAATAAAAATGTGTTGTAAAACTGTGAAGTAACACCTTTTTTTTGTGAAACCGCTCAATGAACTACATCTCCCGTCTCGCACCACACACCAAGACGGCCGGCACGTTGGCACATTTCACTTCTTTCTTTCAGAATGAGGCGAAAAGTATTAAACGAGGTGAAATTCACTCCAAGTCTGGGCACGTTGAGAGCTGTACACACACACAAGGGGAGTTAGTCGGTTCGTAAGAGCCAGCATGCGGGACCGGGATTTGTAGTCTTTCTAGTTGCGTATTTTTTTGGTTTTACGACAAACTGACTTTTTTTACATGGAAATAATTTTTTAAGATTGACAAACATCATATGTGTAATTCGTGGCACAAATCAAACGGGATCGAGAGATACGTTTTCTCTCCCCATTGACTTCAATACATAATTTTTCCGAAATAAGGTCCCATGGGTTGGAAGTAGATGGGCGGGACTTCGCCTCTATGAAGCATTGGACGACAAAACATCAGGCAAATCAGTCAATAAATGATTAGCTGGACTCATAATAACACAGCCGTTGATTTGAGATCAGTTTGAACCTACCGGCTGAAAGATCTTAATCTTCTTCTTCCCAGTTGGATTAGTGGCTTTTTCTATCCTGCCTTTGATGCCCTGGTCCTCTGATCCCCTCTCTTCAGCTCCAATGGTGGAGGGTGGAAGTGCCGCCCCCAACTGAACACCTAACATACTGGAGTCTAGCCCAAAGGTTGCAGCGGAAAATAAGAGAGTCTGCGCTCTGGCCTTCCCCAGATCTATGTTAGAGGAGAGCATAGAAGTGGCGGGTCGGACCAGCTGCTGTTTCTTAGCGGTGCAGTTGGGGCAAATGTAGTCTTCCCCATTTCTCTCCATCAGGCGCCCGCGGGCCTCAGTGATGCCCACACAGTCTCCATGGAACCACTCCTCACAGCGGTCACAGCAGATCATGAACCTGGAGAGCACAGAGCTTTTATAGTGCCAACCAAAACTCAGTCTAGCATTCTTTACCACACTTTTTGAGAATTAACACAACATGGAAATGTGGAAACACACTGTGGCTGTAAATACGAGCCTGACGACAAGAAGATGACATACATTGAAACTTAAAATGGCATTGATTAAAGAGCAATTGGTATTATATTAATTAAAATGTACTTAATTGTTAAACACATTAAAGGTAGGGTAGGTACGAATGGAGAAACCAGCTCGAATGCGCTAGAATTTGAAAGTACACAACCGAAAAAAATCTTCCCTTCCTTCAGACTTCCTTACACAGCCCCTCCTCCAACACACACATGACCAATGAGGGCACGAGATAAGTTTGTGCACGAGATGGAAGCTGACAGGCAGGTAGGCCATCCAGTTATTTTAGCCGGCTCAGATGATTGGTCGTGCTTTTTACAGTACTACGGCTTCCACAGATGACAAGTGTTTCTGAAGTGAATGACCTACCCCACCTTTAAATTGACTCTGCATCAGTGAGAATCAATTACAGGCTAATAATGGGAAATCTATTTTTACCATGCATTTTTCCGATAATACAATTATAGCCGACAACCTGGCTCATAACACAAAGCCAATTTAATTTCAACTACTTATTAAATCGCAGCATCTACAGATTATGAGAAAGAAGGTGGTGCTATCCATATCTAACGTTGTTGGCGTTCTGTAACAGTTTCAGAGAAAGATAGCCTAGCCCCCCCCCCACACACCACACACTTGCTGCTAAATACCAACAAACTACGTGCAATATATAAATGCCGTTAATAACTGTACATTTGTAAATGGTGTAACTTGCTGCTGTTAAATACCAACCACCTATGTGCAATATGTGCTAGATGTGCAATATATATAGATGCCGTTAATAACTGTAATATATACCTGGCTGCTAAATCCTAAGAACTGTTACAGGATGTGTATTTTTTAAATTATGTAACTTTTTATGATATATTATATCATAACTTAGTACTTCAAAAAAAAAAAATGCATGTCACATATTTAACATATGTAACATTGAGCTGTCTGTGGCTCTTCTTCCTGCTGTAACGACGCACATTTCCCCTCCGTGGGACTAATAAAGGGATTCTGATTTATTTTGACATGATATATTTTACCAAAAAGAAAAACTTCCAACACGGCAAATGATTCCTTATTTTTAGTTGTTTTAAGAATAGTGATGTTAGTAAGATTTGTTTAGGTCTGAGCTATGGATTATTAAATCATCCATCCTTTCTTACTAAATCTAGAATGTCTTACCCTGAAGTTATTGTTTTAATACAACATTGAGACATATTCAGTTATCTGATAAGAAACAGGTAGATATTGGTCAAACTAACCCCATATTATATCACTCACAAATATCACAAATAAATACCTTTTGTTGTGTTTCTGGCGACAGATGCAATAAAGTGCATTGGGGTCATAACCTCCCTCATCTGAATCCATGGAAGACGACGTGGAAGAGGAAGATGAAGACATCGAAGAGTCATTCTCATCTTCGTTGTCGCCTTGTGGGTTGCGCATTATTCCAGAAGGTTGGGTGGCGTTCGGCTTCGTCTCCCTCTTGACAGGAGTGGTGATCTTGTTGGCGGGGGCGGGACCTTTAACAGGGGTGGTGCTCTTAGTGGCTGCCCTCTTTTTATTGATGTATGTTCTTATGGGTCCACGTTTGACAGTCATCGATGCAGGCTTGCCGGTGCTCTCCTCGTCAGTCTCTTTGTCCGAGTCCTTCTCCGTTTCCTCTTTGTCGTTTTCATCTCCATGTTGGTGCTCCTCCTCGACAACCTCCTTCTCCCCAGAGTCCTGCTCTAGCTGAGGCTGTGCTGCATTAGTGCCCTCTACATCTTCAGGACTGGGATTACTTTCTCCGTCTTTTTTCTCTTCGTCTTTATCCTGTAGCTGGTCTTTCTTGGCAGCGTCTCTGCTGTCTTCATCATTCTCAGAGCTCCCCTCATCTTTGACTGTCACTCCACCGCCTCCTCGAGTCTGTCTGCCGCCTTGACTTTTCCGTTGGGGCTGCTTCCTTGTGCTGCTTCTCGTCTTCCTCTCGGGGGACTCTGTCTTGTCCTCTGCAGCCTTGGTGTCAGCATTTCCATCGAAGCTGGCCTCTGAGGCAGTCTCTGCATCAGTTGGGGTTTGGGAAGGAGGATCTCCACTCTCCAGACTAAGAGGGGCGCTCCTTCTTGTCCCTCTTTTGGCGGTCGATAGGAATTCCTCTAGTTTGTCAGTGCGCTTAGGCTGCCTGCCGCTGCGCCGTACAGGACAGTCGGTTACTGCCTCCACTGGCATATCTCTTTTTGCAACAGTGGACCGGCGGAAAGACCAGGTCTTCTTTAAGTCACTGTTGGCCAGGGAAGAGTTCTCTGGCTCCTCTATCGTCTCTTTGGCCACATTCTCGCTCTCGGTGTGAAGCGGTTCTTTCTGCGATCTATTCCCTTCAACAAATCCTGTGAACAAACAAAGCAAGCTGTATTCAAAGAGAACAGATGACTATCCACTACTAACTAACTAAGACAGTCTTCAGGGTGTAACATAGCCAAGAAACTACACACTTTTACTGATGAGCCTACATGAATCAAAACCAATAATAACAATTATTATTTGTTTTAATCATTTAAAGATCATAGAACCACAACTGTGCCCAGTATTGCTACAATGTCAACACCCCTTCATTGTGAGTGGAAGAGATGCTTAGCCAAGGTACCTTGAGAGCAGCTATCCATACTGTCCTGGCTCTGCTCTGTTTCAGGAGCTACACAAAGCTCAGGGCTCGCATTCTCCTCCATAGATGATCGAGACAATCACTACGTTCAAACAGAATGTCTACAGTTAAGAGAAGAGCACAAGAGACCAGCCATGAGTCACTCTTTCCATTTTATAATACGGCAAATACTGGGGGGGGGGGGGGGGGCTTATTAATAAGGCAAGCTGGTATTACCAAGATGTTCCCATCACCAGGACACATTTTGTTGTCATTTAAAATGTTCAAATGTAGCCAAAACAGAATTACTTCATATAATAGTATTCCATCTTACACACATTCATTTGTCCTTATTCTATGTATTATGGCATTTTCAATTGCATAGCTTAAGAGATCATGCTCTTCAATTTAAGAGCCTATTATGATCCGTTTCCTTTTATAAGAAGTGTTGGTTCAGTGCAATACAGATTTTTTTCAAGTTCCTTCAAATCTATTCCAAAAATAGTAAACCGCAGTTGCCGCTGAGTAAAAGGCTACTGAGGTCCTTAGCAGGACACATGTTGGGATGTCCGTCTTTGACACTAGCTCGACTGTCTGTTCCAAATAAATGTATCCATACGCATTTGGGTTTTCAAACTCATATCGAAACCACATGTGACTTCTTATATCAATAACAGGTATATGTAAAAACTCCTATATGTAAATAACATGCTGGGCCATTATATAAGCATATCAAATGCAAATGTCAGAATCAGTTGTAAAATGTTCTGCAGAATATACATCGTTATCACAAACTTTATAAAAAGAGAACGTATTTATTATATGCATGTGAAAAACTACAATTACCATTGGCTGAGTTTAATATAAATATATATTATCAATATGGAACTCGGACATTGGAATAGATAAATAAATACATGTTTAATAGTCATACATTCTAAGGCACAATGTTTTCTGGCCCAAAACAATATAGATATAAATGTACATGTATAGATGTAAATGTTGATTTTAAATCATTGATATTCTTTTCAAGTGTTATTTATTATGAGAGTTCACGGAAACTGGACTGTATTTGAGATTCTCCAGGGCCAAACGTGCACACATAAAATAAATAGGCATTGTCTTTACCTGCAGTTCAGTAGTGATGATTAACAGAGTTCTTCAAACAAAGCAAAAGCCTTGCATCAGTAGTCATCTGTCTTGGTACAAGGTCAAAGGATCTGCCAAAAAGAAGAGACCAGTAAAACCCAAGAACTCCACACTGGTTTGAGATGCAACAGCTAGGGCACTTAGTCACTTGCTTAGTCACTGGGATATTAATCAATTCCATAACTGCTATATACACCATGTTCCCAGTTGGAATATTGAATGCCAAAGCACGTAAAGCACAAGTGAAATGACCAACATTAATAAAGCATGCATGTCTTTAAAGTGACCCAGTTAAGGGGCTGGTATCGTTCATGCTGACTCATTGAGTAGGCGTATCGGACACTCGTATCTTATTATTTTCACTTGCCTTTCTTGCTCAAATGCTGCTATGAAACGAGTCGTCTGAACTTTGAGGTAAATGCGAAATTATACCTGCTAGTAGATTGAATAGCTTTACACACTGCACCGTCAACATTTGAAAAAGAATACAGCTAATGATTCCAATTAATAAAGTATTTCTTCAATTCTGTGCTGTGATCGCAGCACCGTGCCACGTGAATGGCAGGAAAAACTGTTGCCAAGAGAGGTGGGAGGGACCGCTGACATCTCATTTAACACTAGCGTTTAACAAACAAACCGATGAGAGAAACCGTCTGTAGAAATGTCGCTATACGACATGTTGACACAGTAAGGCCGTTTGCAGTGAGTATTTGCCGCTTGAAACCAAAATATTGAAGCTGCACTGGGCCTTGGTGCGCATGATATAGTAAATCTTACATTTCAATAAATCACAGCCATGCATAGGTATCACACTAATGCAGGCCTACGTATCTGTAAATATTTAAGAAATAAGCCAAACTATATTGTGGATATCAGACATCGACCTAGGACAACAGAATGTAACGCGACCTCCTGCAGACCGTGTACACAACCCATGATAGCTAACACCGACCGTTAGAAAACGTTAACAATAAGCCCAGTGGCACAAACTGTTCTTTGCTTTAATTGACCGGTCACAATAAGCAACTATGTACCTGGCGTTAAGCGTCTTGACATGTTTGTGGTTTTCGTCATTTATTTGCATCTACAGCGAGTAACTAAACTATGCGAAACGTGCACTTGTAGCTAACAAGCCTAGCTAAGGCTAATAGCCAGCACGAGCACAGGAATGCTAACGGAAAACTCAACCTGTAGCTATTAGCCACTTAGCTTACAGAGGAAATTATAGCAAATAACGCTAACTATCAACCATTAAGCTTAATGCGACATGCGTTTCGTAACTAGTCATATTCAACTAACACATGCAAATTATTAAGGACAAATACAAGCGTAATCTGCACACCAGTTAACGTTTGAGCTAACCTCAGGCGCAGTTTACATCATCTTAAACCGACCTGCAGAAATAACACAACTGAGACACGGGCGTATCTCACACATAATTTGAAACCACATACATTGCTAAAATATCCATTTGTTGCAGTCTACCCACCTAAAGGCTAGAAATACCGATGATATTCCCTCGTTCTTCAGGTCAGTCCTCCATTTTCCATTCCCTCTGGAGGAGCTAACTGACTGCGGCAGATGGCTGACGGTTAGAGTACGCTCAGCGTGTCTGCAGCGCCCCCATCGGACAGGAGGGGAACTGAGCATGCGCGAACAACAGTACTGGGTTTGTTTGGCTTGTAGCTTGTAGTCCTACGCAGCGCCATGGTCCTACGCATTGTAATACAAGATACAAAGTAATACGTAATCTTCATGCTAGCATATTTCGTTTTTATTTGATTATATTAGAAAAAAATAAAGATGTACAATCTAAATGGAAATCTGGCTGAATTTGATCACTTCAATTAATCACTTGTAGTAGACAATATATTAATATACTGAATGTATCGCATCGTATACCAATCAAATATGCGTCAGGTTTCACATTTGGGAAGTGGGAACCATCCATTCTGTTAAGGAATGAGTTGCAGCTTAAAGTTGTCAAAATCCCAAACTTCTTCTGATATTTGATACAGAATCGCAGAATTTTGACCACACATGCGTCTGTATTTAATGCCCTAATTAAAATGTAAATTACAAATATAAACCAACAATTTTACCAGATGGTATTATCCAAACTTGAGTTTAAGAATGTATTTTCCAACTCACACTATAGTTAAAGCTACGCCATTGGATTGCAAACTGCATTGTAAACATTGAAACCGTTTGTTTAAAATGTTTGTATTTGTTAGTTTCTTTGCAGTATACAGCAGGCAACAATAGAATAACAATACATTAACATAAAATATAAAATAGCAAATGTACAGACGTTTCTGTCAACAGTCTAATCTAACCTCTGGGTGGTCCATTATCAAGGGTTACATTTTTGCAGTTTGAAACTGTTAACACTATGATTATGTTTTGTGACACTCAGGCATGCTCTTAAGATCTGTAAACTGACAGCTCTCCAAAGTTGGTAAATGTGCATGAATGTGCAGTATACATGTTGTAGACTGCCCCCTCTAGTGGTTATTATCTGCTGTCAGTCTTGTTTCCACATTTAAAATGTAACCACTGTGCACTGGGATATGTGAGCCTAAAAAGGCAAACACAAATATAGATATATATTTATATATCAAAAAGGATTTAGATTGCTCCCTCAACAGCCGCTTGAACAGACAAATTTACATCGACATATCTTTATAGTGGAAAAAAAATATCTACACACATTTACATTTTCAAGTATGGAAATCTTGTTTAGGACAAAGTAACAGCAACGTTGTCAGTGCTCTTTTCCATGTCACAGTCTTTGTCTGACGGTGCAGAGACCGGCATTTCTCTCAGAGTGCTCGGGCCTCCAGCCTGCCCTAAACCTTTGTTAGGGAGCTCTGCTGTCGACTCAGCCTCAGGTTCTTGCTGTGGGGCTGTGGCTGAAATAGAACAAAAATGAGGGGAGAAAAAAAACATTACATTTAGGAAAATGTTAGGTGTATTGTTGCCAGTGATTATAGAAGCAAGCAAAGAAAAGGAGACTTTGAGACAGAGATATGAGCAGGCTTATGAAAAAAACTTATGTTAATGTCATCGACTGATACAGAATCAGGTGAATTCTCAAGTAGGTTTACACAAACAAGGAATTTGAGTTGATGTTGATTGAACAAAGGAAGATTACTTAAGTATAACAAGTATTGTAACAAATATAATAAAGTAAAATACATTATTTGTACAATAAATAAGAAAGTAAAACAAATAAAATATGAAAAATGACTGTAAAAAATGTGTGCAGTGTATTAGAATGTAAGTGGAAGAGCTGGGCGGAAGCATTGTGCAGAAATGTGTGCAAAGATTCCCAGTATGAATGTAAGGAATGACACAAAAATGATGCAAGATTGAATATGTGATGTGGCTAAATATAACTCATATGTTGATGTAATATAGACATTGATGGTGCTGGAACATGCTATACCTGACTGCGTGCAGGACTTCATGTGTTCGGGCCAGTGGGCCTGCTGACAGGGGTAATCACAGTAGCTGGTGTTCCAGCAGCAGTAGAAGATGGCCTCCTTCCTGCAGTTAGCACACCACTGTTTCTTCTTGGTCTCGTCCACTGCTTGCTGCTTCTCCTGCTCTGTCTGTTTCTTCACCTCAGTCACAAGCCGCTCTCTCTCCTGTTCCAGACTTTGTCTCATCTCTGCCATTGTAAGCTCTGCATTGAAGTACATATAAACACGATCAAGCAGAAGTAAAAACACCATACAGTTTTGGGGGGAAAAGGCTTTATGCATTGGTCGATGAAGTTCTCACCAAGATTGTGCTTCATTTCTGACAACTCTTGCTGATGGAGCCACTGTAATTTTTCTATTTCGATTCTTAGTCTTCTTATCTGGTTTAAAAACAAAAACAGGGGTTAGGGTACGTAAAGGGCCAAATGCAAAGCCACTGTTATGGTCTGAATAGACAATAGTAATTTCTATTGGGTCAAGAGCAAACACTTACCTCTGCTATTGTATTGCCTGAAGTACTCTTCGAAAGGTCATTGTAGATTTCAGTCATTGTACCTTTGATTGCATCCATTATCTGAAAAGAGTAAATCCTTATATTGCGAAGTCTCATTCAAGAAAAAAGTATTTCATGGCAGGGCATTCAGGGCAGGATTTTTCAAGAAACATCATAGTTCAGAGAATCAAGTTTCTTTTTAAAATCATACATATATAACTTTACTCACTTATTCACTACCCTATGAATCACAGCACTGCCAGCCTTAATGCTTGCAGTGCAGTGATTCATCCACCAGAGGGCCCCAGACAGAGCCTTCACTAGTTTACGTCAGACTAACGTCACCAAGATGGCCGACTCCCTCCCATGCTCCCCCATGATGCTCCCTCCACCTGCCTCTGAATTACCAGCATGCCCAGTTTCACAACAATACTGTATCTAACTCATATCTGCCGTTTTAAGACAAACCAGCATATGATTTAGTGACATAATTTGCAGAGAACCTCTCTTTAAGCCACTGTGAATGTAAAATGCAAACTCTGACCGCTTTTAGCCGTCTATACTGTTCGCTATGGGGAAGTTGTCGAGGGGCCTTCAGGTGTCTTTGAAAGCTCGGAATTGTTTATTATACAGCCATACCAAGCATGTTATTGTAGTCTGAGGAGATCATTCTCCTGCATCTTTTAAACACAACTTGCTTTGATATTTGCAACGGTCATATTTGTACGAAGTTATTATTAGATTATTTCGTAATAATACTTATTTTGGGCAAGATACGATTATGAATGCTGAAGATCCCATGTTTTCAAATAGTAAACATGCATAGCTTCCATAATTACACTATCTTTTGTAAAAACAACAACACAGGCCTTTTTTAAATACCAATTCTTATCTGGTTATTTTTGTATTGTCATCGTCAAACCCAAATTTGTGTCAGAGTCAGAAATATGTAGTTTAAAAGCTAGATAGAATTGACATTCTCTCGTAATTTTCTCTCAGGGCTTTCTTTAATGATCAGCCAGGGCTTAGGCTACTCCAGTAAATGTGGCAAATGTAAACAGATAATTATACTAACTTTATTTGTGTACTTGGCAATGTCTGCAGCTACTTCTGCTGAGGCCGTGGGGATATACACGTCTGTGGCGACTGGTGACGAGGTGGCAGCTGTGCCTAAACTTGACGCTGCCATCATGGCAACAGAAGCTGGACTACTGGTAACCAGGGTGACCATGGATGTGCTGAGGGGAGAGTCTTTTAGTTGAACAGCTGGAATTAGAAAACACAGAAATTCAGATTATTATGGAAAAAGGATGGAGAAATATTTTGCACATTTGTAGAGGAGGGCTGCCTAAAGTGGGTCAAACTAAGTTAATGCAATAGGTGTTTGCTTTTCAGCCCATAGTCCACCAATGAGTTTCTGTTTTGGCCTTTCCAATTGAACATATTTAGGGCACACCTGCTGTGCCCTGTGTAGTCATGGACTCTGACCTGAGTTTCAACAGTCACATTAAAACAGTTACTAAATCAGCCTACTATCACCTAAAGAACATATCTAGGATTAAAAGACTAATGTCACAGCAGGATTTGGAAAAACTTGTCCATGCTTTTATCTTCAGTAGACTGGACTACTGCAATGGTGTCTTCACAGGTCTCACTAAAAAATCTATTAGGAAGCTGCAGCTGATTCAGAACGCCGCTGCTCGAGTCCTCACTGACACTAAGAAAGTGAATCACATCACTCCTGTTCTGAAGTCTTTACACTGGCTTCCTGTGTGTCAAAGAATAGATTTCAAAATACTGCTGCTGGTTTATAAAGCACTGAATGGTTTAGGCCCAAAATACATTTCTGACCTCCTGCTAAATTATGAACCATCCAGATCTCTCAGGTCTTCAGGGACTGGTCAGCTTTCTGTCCCCAGAGTCAGAACTAAACATGGTAAAGCAGCGTTCAGTTATTATGCTCCAAATATCTGGAACAAACTCCCAGAAACCTGCAGGTCCGCTGCAACTCTGACTACTTTTAAATCCAGGCTGAAGACTTTTCTTTTTGTCGCTGCTTTTAATTGAACTATTTACATCTTAAACTGCACTGTAACTTTTATCCATGTATTTTTTCTTTTAATGTTTATTTTATTATCTTTTCTTTTTAATGACTGATTTTAAATGCCATTTTCTTAATGTCTTTCGTTTTTTGTAAAGCACTTTGAATTGCCTTGTGTTGATAGGTGCCATATAAATAAACTTGCCTTGCCTTGTGAAGGGTAAATAGCAGGATTTTCTATTACATGAAGGACTTCACACGGTGATAAGTCATACTTGAAATACGTTTTATCTACCTTTAACAGCCTGTCTGGTCTGATAGCGTGTGCTTTGTGAAGACTGCGGTGCTGAAGAGGAAGATGAGGATACTGCTGTGGAGCCATTCCCTGTGGCCTGTGTTGATGCTTGAGCCTGGCCTTGCTTTGGAGACAACGCCTCTATCTGCATGGTGGCCACAGGTGACTGGTTCTGCTGCTGACGCTGCACCTTCTGCATGTGCCACTTCTGCGAGGAGGTCTGAAACTTGGCGGAGGGATTCCAGACCACCGCTCTCTGCACCACCGGCACCGTCTCTCTGGGCAGCAGAGGACGCTGTTTCTTCAAAGCAGGCGTGGTGGAGGCTGGGGA